GTGTGTTGCCTGCTTGAGGTCTGATGAGGATGGATCTTTCATGCTATGACCTGGCCCCTCCTAGACAGGTCGTAACAGTTGGTCTTTCACATTAAATTCCAGTGAAATATATTTATGTTTGTGGTTGTAATGTGACAAAATATGGAAAAGTTCAAGGGGTATGAATACTTTTGCAAACCACTGTAGGCATGAATTCAATCAAATATTGTTAGAAGCATTGAAGCAGCATTTTAAAGTCTAAACATCTGATATTGTTTATTTTTGTGAGACAATAAACTGGAAATGTTCCAGGAAAACCAGCATAAGGAGCTGTGCAAAGCTGAACAAGGGCCAAATGAATAATGACGCATCTCGCGAAACAGATGGGGATCCAGTAACACTGACAAAACGAATTAGCAGGGTGCCGTTGTATCCAATGGCCAATTGCTCCTCATTGTGCACTAAATTCTCCCTGAATCACCTTTAGAACATACCGGTGACCCAGCGGTCCCCTCTGCAAATGCCCCAGCTGAGGCATTTAAAGCAATGCAGAGTAATTCTGTGGCCCGCAGCTTCTTAAACCTGCCCCATTAGTGCTGCAGCACACGTGATGGATAACCACAGCGTATAGCTCATCCTCACCAGGCGGTCGCGGGAGAGATGAGAGAGTCAAACAAGAGTAAAAAAGTGCAGGCTTAAATCGGAGCGATGCTTAAAGGCAGACGGGGTGAAAGAGACGAGGACAGAGCTCCATCTCCCGTTATATCACTAATTCTAGAGATTAGGTTTGGAGTAAGCGCCCTTCCTGAGATAAAGAGCTCATTATTTCTCAATGACAGAGACGGGCCACAGTGTTACAGTTGAAGGATATATTCTTCCCCTGAACCAACCTCCACCTTTCAGTCGGTGTCATCTCTTCATTCTCTCCTCTGTGCTGGGACAAAGCTCCCTTCAGTGATGGGTATTTTGATAGCTCCCACATCCACCAGCAAATTACATCTGTGTAAATGTCACACTGAGTGAAAGGACCAGAGAGGTACAGAGTCACAGACCCCCCACCCCCATTTCAAAAAAAACTCTGTGCCACTGGGGTCACGCTGACATGATGAGGTCGCCAAAGCTTTTTGATGAGGTTAGTTAAACATTAAAAGCGCATTTCAGATGCTTCCACCAAAGCTGCAAGAAAAAGACCACTGGGACATTTCTGTAGACATTTTGCTCAAAACTCTTTTATGACTTTGTCATAAAAGAAGCCAAGACAAAAAAGCTTACATTTTGATGTTTGAACTTTACAAGAAATGTAAAGAGAAGCAAAATCAAAAGACCTGTCGCCAGAGGCTCATTATGTTCACCATAGCAACTAGGGATGTGCAGTGATTTTTAAAAATTAAAATCAAAGGTAAATTGTTGATTTTAAAGATTTAATGTGACCCTACAAGCCTTTTACTTCATTTATTTTTTGTCCCACAACAACACAGATGTTTCCTAACGGCATTTTTCCAGTTAGGATGCTTTTTGACAGAATATCTGTAGCCCACCCATCTCCACTGCCAAAAAATAAATAAATACATAAAAACAACTGGAGAACTGCCAGTGCCTTTTACCTTTTTATTAACAAAACAGAAACTATAATCTCAGGTGAGCTCAGCTTTACGGATTTATGCATCTTTTTTCAGTGCTGATACATCAAACTAGTGAAAATGACACAAATGTTTGGCTAGCAAGATTATAAAAGTTTAACTTTAATTCAATCATGTGAACAACAATCCTAAGTCACAAAACAGCAGCTGAGATTAGTGCTTATTAAGACACTTTCTCTGCTTTATAACTGGTCTGTTGTGTTAACTCTTGTGCTCTGATAATTAGCCTTCTGTGCAAGATTAAAGGACAAAATAACCATGCATCGTGAAAAGTATGAATTGCTGCAAGTTGGTCTTAAGTTTTAGAGATGGCTGGAGCGTGGGGGGGGGGTCAGCCAAACTGCAACAGCGAATATTAAAAAAAAACAAAAAACAGACAAATGTGAGTAATTTTGAATAAAATGCACATCTTTAATGGTAACCACACACTCGAGTCTCTTATTCCCTGACTTCCAAATTATTGATAGGCAGACAAAATTACAAATGTAAAAGAAGGCTTCAACAAATAGCTGCTGTGGAAAAACAGAAATTCTGATAGTCCCACGTGTTAATTTTTTTAAATGTGTACAGTATTTCATGTAGATTTGTCAAATAAAAAGGCCCTTAAACTTACAGTTTTAAAGGGAATATTTTGAGCTAAATTTTAACAGTCCGTGGAAGCTTGGCTCTGCCTTCTGAGGGGATTTGAGAAAAAATCTTAAGTCCTACAGCTGTGAGAGAAACAATGAATGAAAAAAGACAAAATGCCTGTTTTCATGTATAATTTGTACAATAAAATCAATAAAATCACAGTTGAGGAAAGAACTATGACTCTCAAGAAAGCAGTTCAAAAGGGCAAATGAAGATGAGAAGCCTGGGTTAGCAGAACTATGCAGCATCTTTAGGAAGAAACA